GCGCGGTGGGCCATGTTGCTGATAGAGGAGACAATATCAGACGATCGAGGATCGCAGACGCAGATTCTATAAAATCACACTGGGTCGTCAAGGGGTCGGGCGGCGCGTCGTAGCGGAGGACGGTGTAGCAGTGAGCTGCAGCCGGGTCAATTGAAGCATAAACACGGAGGGGTATATAGTCCTTGTTCCAGTAGCACATATTTTCAGAGGCTGGAACCAACCAATCGCGCAGGAGGATACAACACAGCTCTGAACAAGACAGGTGCTGTTTATAACAGCGCTGAGTCGGACGATTGGCGTCAATAGATTGAGGTCTTGCGAGGATAAGATCTGATTAGAATTTGGGTTTGCGTTGCTGGTACACAGCCGAAAGCCGCTTGCTGTGCGTCTTTTCGCCATGTTAAAGCAGGGTAGGAACCAACCAATTGTGTGGTCGTCCATCGCCCAACTCATGAAACCATATGCATACGGACGCAGATGTACACTAGTTGTGGGCTTGTCGACGAATCAACTAAAAGACTGATGTTTGATGGACTCAGATGCCCCGAATCAGTTGGGTGGCCCTGTAGTTCACCCACACGTGGGATGCATTATCCATTTATTCGATCGACAAGTCTCAAACTTCCTGTCGTTTCCAGGGCTTTAACTCAACCCTTCCAGACACAAACAAGTCAATCTTGCATCTCAAGTCTTTTGTTGCGCTCACATTATGCATGGATCAATCCGTAATTTTTGAGCGACCTTGACATTTCCTCTCTTTACGAACAAAGTGCACCGACTCATCCCTGCTCTCAGGCCTTTTTATGCTCAGCGCGACTCTTTTCAGTCCTCCATGCACTTTCTACTACACTATTCCGTCCTCCGCTACGACGCGCCCTACCCCTTGACGACCCAGTGTGATTTTATAGAATCTGCGTCTGCGATCCTCGATCGTCTGATTCGCGACACTCGACTACGTTCCCCAAGAGCGTTTCCAAGAGCGTTTCCTCTAGAACTCCAGTTATCAGATACTGGTATCTCCTTGGCACTCTGTCCGACTTCGCTGGACTCAGACCGTCTGAGTCGACACACGCTATACTTTCTTGTCGGAGCTCACGTGCTCGCCAAGTTAGTTCATTCTCTCATTTGCGCCGT